AGTTAAAAGTGTTTGGTTTTTTGCCTTTTTTTTTTTTTTAACTCCGCAGTCTCTGGCTACTTTATTTATTTTTTTTTTCCGTGGCTATATTTTTATTCTTAAACAGTTTGGCCATAAGTTGGTATAGTGACATAGGCAATTTTTTTTTCTTTTTTTTTTACAAATAGTTTATTGTCAAATTAGTTTCCACATAATACTCAATGCTCATCCCCACAAGTGCCCTCCTCCAGGCTACTTTATTTTTTAAAAGTTTCGTTTATTTTGAGAGTGGCAGAGTGAGTGAGGGACGGGCAGAAAGAGAGGGAGACTGAGAATCCCAAGCAGACTCGCTGCTGCCAGTGCAGAGCCTGACGCGAGGCTCAAACCCACAAAATGTGACGTCATGACCTGAGACAGCATGAGCAGGGGAGGGGCAGAGAGAGGGGGAGACACAGAATCCGAAGCAGCTCCAGTTCAGGCTCCGAACTGTCAACCCAGAGCCCTAACTGAGGCTCAAACTCACAAACCACGAGATCATGACCTGAGTCAAAGTCAGCTGCTTGACCCACTGAGGCACCCAGGCATCTCTGTTTTTCACATTTTTAAGTTAATGTTGTCATCAGTGAAGATGGTCTGTGTAAAGAAACTGTTTCTGAACGCTTGTCGAGCCTTCCATTGGGATCTCTTCTGTCGTCGATTTTTAAAAGTTCCGTATTTATTTGGAAAGAATGTGTTCTCCGTGTGGTGGACTCTGTTAGGTTGAGACTGTTCGTGGCAATTCAGACTTTGCCCTCCTGCTCTGGCGTCGGGCACACGCATCCCAGGCAGGCGTCCGGCGCGCCCCCGTGCAGCTTCCTGGTGTGGCTTCCCGATGCGCACTTGGACTTGGGACTGTGTGCGGTTCCTCCTAAGAAATACGCTTTGTGTTTTTACATTTATTTGTATTGATGTGATCTCTATGCCCAACATGGGGCTCAAACTCATAACCCCAAGGTCAAGAGTCACTTGCTCTTCCTTACTGAGCCAGCCAGGTGCCCCAGGAAATGCACTTCTTACATTTGGCCTTCTGGTATTCGCAGACTCCGGCCAGACATCGTCTCAGGGTGTCTTGATTAGTTGTAAGACCCCCTGGAAACTCCGCCGTTTCACTTAGGTTTTGTCGGAGTAGATGCTGATTGAGGGGAAAGCGGTGGTTACTCACCAGCCCCTGGCCTGCAGGGAGGCCCAGCGATTGCAGCTGCCCCAGGACCCGGAGCCGGGACCCCGCGAGCATCCAGACCACACTGGCTTGCCTGCTGCCACACAAACGCCCGGCACGAAGGGGGACCCAGCACTTCCTTGCGGCGTGGACACTGTTCAGGAAATCTCTGGAGTGTATTCTTATATCGGAAATGATTGTTTCCTTCTTTGTGACTTTAATTATTTCCCAAGGGAAATCCTGCCTTCTCGATACAGCCAGGTATTGCATGTGTGGGCTTCTGGGCGTCAGGACGTAGGAAACTGTCAAAATGTGGTGCATCTTAAATTGCATTGAGGCCCTAAAACCTGGTAAAGTTTGGGAAGGTGATTAGAGGTATGTACAGGCCTAGCTGCTGAGTGAGGGTAGTCGTTACAGAGAGCAGGTGGCCCTGGTCGATGCCACGCTGAAGGTGGACAGGTGGTGTGCCTCAGCCATTCCAGATGGTTCAGAAGTTAAACTCGTTCAGCAGGGTACTTCTTCCCTCTCAGGACATGAATTAAATACAAACCCACTACAGCCTAGCAACAGAAAAACCGAATACAAATCAAAAACAAAGGCTTTGAGTACCTTTTTCCAAAAAAGATAAACAAGTGGCCAACAAGCACATGAAGAGATGCTCAACAGCTCTGATCATCAGGGAATGCAGATCAAAACCGTGTGCAGGTACCACTTCCGACCCGTTAGATGTGTCTGTCACAGAAGAGCAGGTGCTCACACAGGGTGCGGAACTGGAACCTGGGGCTGCTGGTGGGAATGATAAATGGCGCGGCTGCCACAGGCGGTGGTTGGACAGTGTCTCAGAAAGCTAGCCCGAGAACCACTGCGCGACCCGGCAGCCCCACGCAGGGGTGTGCACCCAAAAGAATTAAAAGCAGGGACCCAGAGGGGCCCCTGCATGTGAACGTTCACAACAGCACTGGTCTCAGAGGCCGGGCTGTGGAAGCGGTCCACGTGCCTGGCCACACAGCGTGTGAACCGACGGCGGCGTTGATTCGGCCGTAAGCGGGAGAGGCCCTGACAGCAGCCACAGCCCAGGCAGGCCTCGCCGCGATGCTGAGCGACCTGAGCCAGTCACAGGGGACACACGCTCCGTGGACCCACTCCTGCGTGGCCTCTGGAGCTGTCCCGTTTGTAGCGACAAAAAATGGGACGGTGGGCGGGGGCTGGGAGAGGGTGAGAGTCATGTTTGGTGGGGACAGAGTGACCGTGTGGGGAGACGAAAAGTGGTGTCACACGACTTTGTAAAGGTAGTTAATGCCGCTGGATAAAACCACATACGGTGGTTAAAACAGAAAATGTCACGTTATATATTTTTTACCATAACAGAACCTTTAAGCCTAGATTCAACTGCATAAGAATGCTTTGCTTAAAGAAAAAAATGTGTGGAAGTGTGGCCGTGCACAAACACGGAGAGAACAGAACACCGCGCTGCTATGTTCCTGTGCTCCGCTTCAGGGCCAGGGCCGCCCCGTCTGTGCTCCCCTCCTTCTGCCCTTGCGGGACTGTTTGATTTTAAAGCCGTTGCAGACCTAATGTTGCATTCACCAGGGCTTCTCTGAAAAGAACGGTCCTGTGTGCGAGCACAACCACACCCACCTCCCCATCAGGTCACAGCTGTCTCTGTGCAGCGGACACATGCTGGGTCCAGGGGGACGTCTGGCCAGTGGCTCTGAACCGTCTTTCAGTTCGCGGGGCCTCCCCTCTGTCTCCCTGCCCTTTATTTCTTGATGAGGACGGAATACTTCGTCCCGTGGGATGTCCGCTCTCCTCGTGCAGACGCACGATCCCCCGTCCCCATAGCCTGACGAGATCCGGCGTCTGCACCCGTCGCCGTTAGTGAGCTTAGGGCTGGCGCTGTGCTTGGGACGGCCAGCCCGACCCCGCCACCAAAGCCGCGGCCTCGAAAGGTTCCTAGAGGCAGAGCGGCGTGAGCAAGGGCCGAGGGTCTTCGTGTTCCCGGTGCCAAGGTAGCCCCTGGCTCCAGGCCTGCCGCAAGCACTTGGCAGTATGCGTGGGGGCAGCCATGGGTACAGTGTTTGCTGGGGCGGGGGGGAGGTGGAAAGTTCTGGAGGTGGAGGGTAGACAGGGCTCTGCAACACTGAGCATCCTTGATGCGGCTGATTGAACACAGACGCGTGGCTAGAGGGGTGAAGCGTATTCTACAATAAACAGTCTGTAAGTTCGGCTGTTGGTTTTAAATAGGCGGCTTTGTGCTCTAATCAGGCATTCTGAGAATCTATTAGAAAGTTAAAAATACATGTGTATGTAACTGAGAAAAATGTTTGAACCCTTGTTTTTATCCTATACACCCCCTTACAAGATACGACATGAATTTGTAGATGATACCTGAGCTTATGTATCTTGAAGTAGTTTAACTCATGATTTCAACCTTCTGTGTTTAATTTTCTATTTTTAGAGGTTTATTCATTGTAAGTACTCTCTACGCCCCACCACGGGGCTCGAACTCACTCACAACCCTGAGGTTGAGAGCCGCACACGTTACACTGACCGAGCTGGCCAGATGCTTCCCCCAACACACAGCCTTTTGTGTCATGAAGATAGTTTGCGTGTCTGTAAATTCAGTGCATTAACGGTCATTTCTCAACTTCAGGAATTTGAGAGTGTGTTTTGCGGTAAAACTGGCCGAAGGCTCAAGCTGACCAGACCAGACTCCTTGGTGGCGCGTCCCGCACAGGAGAGCCTACAGAGCAGCCCGGCCATGGACGTCAAGTGACCGGCACGGACCTTGAGCTCCCGCAGTGGCGGCTGCTGCCCGGGGCCCCCAAGCGTCTCTGCAGCCCAGGAGCCTGGCAGTTTGACTCCGGGGGGCGCGGGTCGAGTTGATGGGCCTCCGGTGGGGACGTTAAAGGGCGCTTTGTAGAGGTGTTTGTCTAGAACAGAGTACTCCTGGCCGTCTGTGTCCTCTTAGACCATTTGGGGATGAAGACATGTTGCCAAGTCACAAGAAACTTCAATTATCTGCCTGATTCCATCATGTTTTTTTAACATGATAACTTTGAAAATTAACATCATTTGTAATTTCTTTAGTCTTAAAAGGTATATTGCTTTTTACTTATTTTATTTACATTTTAAATGTGCCCGCTTAGCAACTGGAACAAGTTAAGTTGTTCTTAGTTAGAAGTAGTTTGGAGATTTCACGGTTTCTCCCTCCCCTTGTACCGCTGCCAGTCACGCACGACCGGGTTGTGAAATGTGCATTTCCAACCTTCCCACTGGCCGTTTTCCAGACTCCCTTTGAAGCCATTTTTGTCCATACATGAAATATTGTCACAGTGGATTACTCAGCGCGCCCTCATTTCCATATTGAGAGTCCTTACTTTCTGTGTAATAAACTCTAGTGTTTGGAACCGAGTTTTTCAAATGAGTGGCTTTATTTATCACAACAGGTAATAGCAGTAGACTTTGGCGCAGTACAAAGTCACCTTCAATAAATACTGTTAATTGGAGACAGGTAAAAGTTTGTACACCAAATAAGCGGGAAAATCAGACTAGACCGTGTGCAGCGGGGATGCTGTACGTGAACTTCTTTATTTGTTACACTGTGGTCGTTAGATTTCATAGATCGTCTGACTGTGACCGTGTCTTCGTCCTTCCACAAACGCTGTGTGAACGAGCCGAGTGTTTTCTCTGGAACCGTGCAGGGCTGCGTGTGCCCCGATGCTGCGTCGTGTAGGGCCGGGTCTGAGGTACGACAGCTGCAAATACCCGGGAGACAGGACACGACGGCCCGTCGCTGGTGAGGACACGGGGGCCGGGCGGCCCGTCGCTGGTGAGGACACGGGGGCCGGGCCGGGAGGGCCTCGGGAGATGCCCCCGCGTGTGCCCTCCCAGAGCTCCCTGCTTGCAGCAGCCTCATCTTCTCCCTCGCTTCCTTTGGTTATGTTTTAGGAGCTTCTAGAACCGGATTTTTCCCCGACCCCGGCCATCATGGCTCCTTGGCAGGCTGAGGTGTCACAGATGCCGGGGGTGCCCTGAGCACCGACAGCGCCAGGGAGGCCAGGGTCACCCGGAGGCCCGGGCTCGCCGGGAGCCCCGTCTCGGCCATCCTTGCTAATGCCGGGCACACCCTGCGGTCCTGGGGACGAGACGGAGCAGGAGGTGAGTGTGGACGTCGGTGGGAATTGACATCCAGTCCGCCTGCCCCCCCCGCCTTTGTTTTAGGAGCTTATTCCCAACTCTAGAAGGGCCGAGGGGAGGAGAGGCCATGCAGGGAGGAGGTGGAGGCGCAGGGAGAGGCACGTGGAGGTCCAGGATCTGTCCGGGGCTGGGAGGGGAAGCGGGGGATGACAGCTGGGACCGGAGCTGGGCTCGGTCTGTGGTGAGATATGCGGAGTCACTTGGCAAGCAGGGATGGAGGGACCGGGCGTGGCCTCACAAGCAGCCTCCACTCCCCCCGGGCGAGGGGGCCCACGGTGAGGGTGAGGGTGCGCAGGCCTCAGGCCCCCGGGGCGTGTGTGCAGGTGACACCAGGCTCCGCCAGCCGGGAGGCCCTCCCATCTCTCTGCAAAGCGTCTGTGTTAACGTTAATTCAAGCCTTTCAGGATGCGTGTGGGCCAGTGAAGAGATTCTGTGAGAATTTAGCTGAAATAGAGTGGTCTTCACTAAACAGATCCTCCTGAATCGATTCTCCACTAAACACTCTACAAAGTGGTTCAGACAACGCCTAATCTCTAAGACTCTTTGAAAGGGAGAATTTGTTCCTTTACAAGACAGGTTGTCTCCCGAGCAGAGCCCCGTGCAGAGTTGCAGGCAAAGCTGACAGCGGCCGAGACGCGTACCTTGAAGCCCCTGGTCCCCGTCAGGCCCATCTAGACCCGCGCCCGCCGAGCCTTTGTCTCCTCGGTCTCCCTGGGCCCCTGTGGGAAAGCAGCGGACGTGAGCCCCACGCGTGTGTGACCCGCCTTGTGACATGGGGGGCGCCCACTTTGCAGGCTTTTCCCCAAAGTGACACACACATAGGAAAACAGCACAAGCATCAGAACCAATCAAGGTAGTTGACACTTGAGTGGATCCCGGTTTGGGGACTGCGGCCCCGGCACGGTGTGGGGACCCCAGAGTTCCCGGTCGCTGCGGACGGCCCTGCGTCTGGGAGGGAGGAGGTGCGTGCGTCCGGCTCCGGGGCTCAGGTGGTTCGGGCTTGAGGACACGAGAAGTGGCGCCACTAATTCTGGAATGCTTAAAACTTAACTTCATAGGGGAAGAAAGGGATTCACAGATTTACGTTTCCCTTAGAAAGGTTTTTCTTAAGCTGTTTTCCAGAAGCAAATTCTTGGATCAGAAAGTTGGAATGGACTGACCAGGAGCTTGAACTCCCGAGTTTGGGCCCCGAGGCCGGCTGTGGTGGCACAGCTTAGAGTTTGGGAATGGAGCGTTCGAGGCCATTTTGGAAAAGGTTAGTGCCCGCCAGCTCGCACGTGTGAGGCCGGAGCGTGGGCGCTGGGCCCGCGAGGGGGCGGCGCGTCTGTGCCTCGCGCTGGTTCCTGAGTCCCGTCTCCTAGTTTGTCGCTGTCCTTTCAAAGGGGGTTTTATACAGTTTTTGCCTTTTGCCACTGATGTTCGCATGTGTGGGTTTTAATGCAGGCGCATCCTGTGAGTATAAACGGGCTCCTGTCTGTTCCTCACACGCTTGTCCCCCCTCCACCTCCACATGTTGTTCTGACGGGTGTTTGAGAAAAACCTCATTAAAAAACCGGTGCGGTGCCCGCAGGACGGAGCGGGAAGGAACTGTCGGGGGAATGTGGGGACCACTCACCTCTGGGCCCAGGATCTCCCAGCTCTCCGGTGGGACCACGATATCCAGGGGGCCCTCGCGCCCCGGGGTGGCCGATGGAGCCGGGGGGCCCCAGGGGGCCTGGGGGCCCGGCTGGACCAGGCCGACCCGCGGATCCCGGCGCTAAAGGCTTCCTCAGGTGAGCAGCTAACTGTGCAATTTGTTCTTTGGGGGGAAAAAAAAGTGCAAGCATTTATTCCAAGCGGATTAGCAGGACTGTTCTACACGGCACCTGAAACATCAGGGCCACCCGCCTTCCAGAAGGAAGTGTCCCCGATTGACAGTGGCCTGAACTCTAGTGCTGCCAGAGTAGAGCAGGGAGTCAGGCTCAGAGGGAGGGAGGCACTCCGTTCGTGCCAGCTCCGTAAAAGTTCTGTGAATCAAAGTGGCCAAAAGATGGCCACCTTCGCTCATACAGTCCCTGCCCCTGTGACTGTTTCACGGGCAGACATTTAGAGTGCCCGCCACGCGCCCGGCTGGTGTTAGATCCTGGGGGAGGAAGCCCCAACCTGGTGCAGAGGGACGGAGCGGACCCCCAAGGACCACAGGCGGCGGGAGGGCACTCACCGCTGAGCATCGCCCCGCACAGCTCCCGGATGTGCTGCTCGCTGGCCTCTCGCCCCTGAAACGCACCCGGAAGCTGGTCAGCAGATGGGCAGCTCCAGAGGCACCCCGCCGTCCCTCTGGGGAGGGTGACTGAACACTGACCTCGACACAGGGACGGAAACACTTACCGGGACCCCGGGCTTCCCAGTGATGCCAGGCACTCCTGGGACGCCCTGGAAGCCCACAGGGCCGGGCGGGCCCGGGACGCCGTCCACGCCGCTCGTGCCGTTGGGACCCTGGATGCCCTTCGGGCCCAGCTCCCCTCGACTGCCAGACTGGAGGAAAACGGGACCAGGAGGCTGGCAGGCAAGCGGTGCCCAGCAGCCCTGCCCACACGCTCTTCCCTCTTGCCCGACTTCCGGGCCGAGCCAGCCTCGTGACCCACAGGCCCGGGTCCCCTTTGGGCCTTGCCATTGCGACGGCTGCCAGCCACTTACCTCTCCTTTGGCACCGACGGGACCAGCGGGACCCTGCAAGACAGGAGCGTTTTGGGGCTGTTAGGCGGGTGGGCATTTGGTTCCAGAGCGCCAGGCCGGCACGGCACTGGGTGGGGCGGCAGGGGTGGCCTGAGCCAGCCAGCAAACTGATTTCACGGCTTCGAGATCTCTCCTAGGTGTGTTTTCTATCTCGCTGGGGTTCTGTTAGAGCTACTGCTGTTTGTGGGACTTAATTTTCCTAAAGAGCGTTTTCAGTAGCGGCTTCGTACTTCTTACCCGTGTTGACTTTGTTCCTGGTCTTCATCGTCACTGTCATAATAAATGATGCTAAGCTGAAAGTCTGTCCCTAAAGTTCCCTTTCTGCAGCCGTGTCTCCTCAGGAGCTTCCTGGCTGCATGTGAACAGGGACACGGTCCCAACCAGACAGCGGATGGCCCGGGACCTGTTCGTCCATGCCACCATCGGTGAGAGCAGACGCCACTCGGCTCGGCCACGCGGCAGAGTGCCGTGCCGAAGCCAGAGGGGCTCTGCGGCCGCCAGGGACTGGCACCCTCACCACGTTATCAGGGATGGGTGCCCAGGGTTGTTCTGGTCAAGGTCGTCCGGGAATTCCCCACAATAAGGCTCGAGCACGTGCTCACACGCAGCCCTGACCATGTCTTGGCTGTGGTCACTGCCGGAGACGGGGGACCCTGGGGCCAGGCCGTTGCCGTCTCCCCCAGATGCCTCGACAGCCTTAGTCACCCAGCTAGAAACCCTGGCCATGTGGGAAAGGCCCTTCCCGCGAAACCCCATGACCGTTGTCTCCCGCCACCTCCAGGAAAAGGCCCAGCTGTCAGTGAACTTGGGGATTTTTACTTTAAACATAACTCAGTTTTCAGCTCTGTGGAGAGTTTTCTTTAGATAAAACTCACCTGTGTCCCCGTTCCCACTGAGAGTCCCTGAGGGCGGGGCTGCAGACAGGCGCGCGGGCCGGGCCCACGGCCTCCGTGTGGCTTCCCCCACCCTCCAGGACCAGCCGAGACCGGCCTCCCCCAGACGCGGCCAGTTCCCGCTCGGCTGTTAGTACAAGTGACGCCGACTTGGTCACACTCACCAGCTCTCCTTTGTCCCCAGGAAGACCGTCGGAACCTGCAACACCCTGGGAACCACACACCCCAGCGTTAAACAGCTGTGACCCAGGCCCGGGGCAGGGACGCAGGTCGACGCCACTTATTGATCTGACATGAGGCTCTCTTGCCAAGCAGAATCTCAGGTGGGTTTGGATTGTTCTAGTTCCTCGAGCTGGAGGCCACAGGCCCAGCACCCTTTCCAGAGAGGAGGCATTTTTGACCTTCCACAGACAGGCCTGGGCCCGGATGCCACCCTTTATGGGCTCACGTTCCCAGAAGGTCCCTCCCCTAGGGGCCCTTCCCCTAGGCCGGGAAGTGGGGCTGGGCATCCAGAGCGGTCACCCCTCCGCAGAGGGAGCGAGGCCAGCCAGTAACGGGACGGCAGGAGGCAGAGACAAAGACCCCGGAGCTCCGGCCTGCATCTGTCGGGACCGCGGGGCGCCCACTCACCTGGTCTCCCTTCGGGCCTGCGGCTCCTCCCGGGCCCTGGCAGAGAGAAGGCTCGGCCTTAGAGGCAGGTCAGGGGCCCCTGGAAGCGGCCCCTCCCCAGGCGCGACCCCGGAGTGTCCCAGGACCCCGGGGCACCGCACCCCACGGGGCACCCTGAGTGTTTAGCAGGCCTCTGGGGGTTGGAGTGAGCGGCCCGTGTAGCCCTCGGGGCGGGACTGGACGGGCCGGCGCACTGCAGGCTGGGGGCGCCCCGAGGGCGGGGAACGTTAGCCGTTGTCCATCTGCTCAAAGAGCAGCAGGAGGCGTGAGCGGCCCCGGGGGCAGAGGTGTGACTGCCCTGGGAGGGGACCGAGGGGGCGAGGGGCGGCGAGATGGGGGGACGGTCACGACCCCCCACCCTCTCAGAGGGCCGGGCCTGGTGGGTGTGCCCCCGACCCCTGGGGTTTCCCGCCTGTCTGGAGGCTAACGAAGGGCCCGCCTTCGCAGCCAGTGGTTTCTGTGCCCCCCCCCCCCCCCCCCGGAATGAGTGGGGGGTCCGGACGGCAGCTCCTGGCCCCCTTCGTCTGCAGGGAGGAGGTCAGAGGCAAGCGCGGCCTCCACAGGGCCTGGGGCACACGTCCCCCTGGGTGCTCCGGCCCAGCCGTCCCGGGACCCACAGGGACCCACCGACGGTCACAAGACCACTAGGAAAGTCCGAAGCAGCGACAGTTAAGTGTAAAATCCACGACTCTAAATAAACCGTTATTTTAAAGCAACGTAACCCTGGGTCTGGCCCTGAGCTCAAACCCGCCAGGCGAGGCGGCCACCACAGCGCGCGGCCCGCCTCCCCCGGGGGCCCAGGGACCGGGAGCCCCTGCCGGGACGGCCACTTACCCGATCACCCATGCCACCTCGGAGGCCCTGGGGGCCCGGCAGACCGGGGTCTCCTGTGCTGCCCTTCCGGCCCTGCGGACAAGGACCCAGCCCGTCAGCACCCATAGTGGGGAGCCCAGCGGGGCCCCTGGGTTCACTGGGCAGAACCCCCCACCGAAGCCTCACCCACCTGAAAGCCTCGGACGCCCGGGACTCCGGGAGGGCCTTGTGGGCCCAGAGCCCCCTGAAAGACAAAAGGGAGGTGTGGGTCCAGGTCTCCTCCCCCCAGGGGTGCCGGGCAGACACGGGAGAGGGTGCCCAGCCCGGGCCGGCCTGCCGGGGACGGAGGCGCGGGGCACCGCGGGGGCGGTTGGGGTTGTGGAGGTGAGGCGCGGCCTCAGGCCCCATGCCGGCCGCCAGTCAGGCCGCCCGGGCCTGGTGTCCTCGTGACCCCGGCCGCCGGTCTCTGGTGGGACGTGGGGGACGGGCAGCTCCCGGGGCACTGCTGGGCTGCCGTCCTCGGCTGGGCGTCGCGACTTCTTCCCTCAGCGAGGACGGGACAGCCGGGCTTCCGGGGGCTCAGCCCACCGATGTGTCCCGAGTGCCTCCCCGGCCACGTGCCTCCCTGCCCCGCCCCTCACCAGACTACACCCCTTCACTCACCGCCGAGCCCCTGTGGCCAGCCTCACCGCGCTCCCCAGGCACACCTGCGTCTCCCTGCACAAGGTGGGGGAGCGGGGGTCAGCAGGGTTCGTGAACTTGGGGGGGAGGGGCGGAGGGGGACCACTTACTGGGATGCCAGGCTCTCCCGAGGGTCCAGCCTCACCCAGCTCCCCAGCTCGGCCCTGCACAGGAAGAGAGAGCCCTGAGTGCCCGCCCGACCGTCCAGGACCCCGGCGCCACCCCCCTCCCCCAGCAAGACAGAGAAGCCACGTACCAGTTCTCCCTTCTCGCCCTTGGACCCTGCTCGTCCGGGGAGGCCCTGCACACATCAGAGGTCAGGGCTGCCGAGCCCGTGGCCGAGCACCCCTGAGTGGGGGGCTCCCCCTGCGCAAGCCCCCACTCAGGGACACATAGGAGAGGACCTCTGTCCCCAGAGCCCCCGCCAGCACCGCCTGGGCCCCACCGAAGGCAGCCCACGTTCTCACCGGCAGCCCATTGGGACCCTTCTCTCCTGGGGCACCGTTGCGACCAGCCTCTCCCTGCAGGGCGGAGGGGGAGGGGTACAGCGTGCTGAGGCCCTGGAGGCCCAACTCCCACAGACCCCTCCTCCCCCGTGGGCCAAATACCAACCTTCTCGCCATCCAGTCCTGGCACACCGTCTCGGCCGTCCTTGCCTGGCATACCCTGGGGGGAGGGGGTGGCGTGAGGCCTGGTGCACAGTGTCCCCCATTACCCCTCCCTCCCCAGGCCACCGTCATCCTGCACGTCTGCCCTGGGTTTTCACAATGACTGCAGGGAAGGTCTGTCGTGGCCCATTTTACAGATGAGAATAACGGCTTGGGGGCAGGGACATGGGCCTTCCCGATCCCACGCTCTGGACTAATTTGGAACAGAGAGCACGGCCCGGCGCTGGGAAGCCAGCAGGAGAGCGAGCAGCCAGAGGCCACCACCAGGGGCCCATCCTTGTGGTGCCCCAGGCCCCTCAGAATGCCCCCGACCTGTGCCCACCGCGCTACCCAGCCCACCCTTCTGTCTCTGAGGCGCTCTGCCTCCTCCGTGAGGTCGGGACCGGCCACGTGGGAAGCTCCGGGCTACTCAGCCACCCGTCTCCACACGGCGACAACAGCGTTCAGCCGAGTGAGGGCCACACGCCAGCCGGGGGCAGCCCAGGGCAGTTGAAGGAGAAGGGTCTCCCGGGGGTGACACGTGCAGAAGACGGGAGGCCATCGGGCAGCAGGGGTCTGCCCTGTGCAGAGACCCCAGCCATTGCCCCGCACTGTGAAGGCCGCGGGTACTCACCGGCTCTCCACCCGGCCCCGCCACTCCAGGGACTCCTTTGGGACCAGGTCTGCCCTGAAAGACACACAAGCCACTCCCTTTGGGACCCGAGGAAGAGGGATGCTCCTCCTGACCAAGTCCCTGGTCCCCAGGCAGGCTCAGGCCTGGCGCCAGGGGCTGTGCTCGGGGCTGGGCATCGCGTGGCTGCCTCCCGGACCTCTGGAGGACGAGGCTGAGGGCGTCCACAGGAAATGCCAGCTTGGGACTGTCCCCTCATTGCTTGATCATCTCCCAGCTGGGCGCCAGGGTCCAGCGCTACCACGCGGGGCCTCCGGCGGGGGGTGTGCAGTGGCCACAGGCGCCCCGGGAGTCTGGTCCTACACCCTTGCCCCGCTGTCCCCGGGAGGAGCTTGTCAGACCCATCGGGACTGCCTGCCACCCGGCCGCTGTGCCCCTCCCCCCCCCCCCCC